AAATCATTCAATGATATTGTTTTTATAATACAGGTAGTCCTTGAGTTACAACCATTTGTTCAGTGACTGTTCAAAGTTAGAATGGTGCTGAACAAATGGTGGTTACGACCAGTCCTTGGAATTCCAGCTGTCCCAACAACCCATGGTCATATGATCACAATCTGGGCACTTGGCAACTGGCAAACAGTTGCAGTGCGCCATGATCACATAATGGCCATTTGTGACCTCCCCTGTTGGCTTCCCCAGAAAGTCAATAGGGAAACCAGCAGGGAAGGTCGCAAATCAGTGGGGTAAGACTCCCCCACCTGTGCACTGCCCCCCAGCCCTCTGCATTCACGCCAGCCACACACATTTCCACGCACCCTCCCCGAGCCTTGACATACCACCCTTGTGCACCCTCGAGCCTCACACCTCCCTCACATCCTTGCACACTCTCCCCGAGCCTCGCCGCGCCTCCCTTGCATCTCACATACCCTCTAAAGCCTTGCTGCACCACCCTCACGCACCCTCCCTGAGCCTCACTGCACCTCCCTCACACCCTTGCACTGCCCCCCCACCCAGCAGCAGCCACTTACCTGTCTGCCAGCCTGCTTGCTAGCCACCTGGGACTTGTAACTTCCTGCCAGCTTCCCCACTAACTTGGTTGTGGGAAGTTGGCAGGAAGTTGCCTCGCCTAACCACCATGGGATCTGGTTAATGATAGCAACTGGGGCTGCAAGGATTGTTGTCGCTAAGTGATAGTCGCATTTTATGACCACACTGCTTAGCGACAGAAATTCTGGTCCCAATTGCTGTCATAGTCAAGGACTACCTGTACAATGGCAGTTTTACTTCCAGCTGTTCCTTTTCATCCCCAAAGTGGAATCTGACCCTTTTATAGCAATCTCTGCATTGATAAGGTTTTTTTTTTTTTAATACTTACAAATTATATAGTTCAACTTTGTGTTTAGAAAGCTTCAAATCTTCAATTTATATAAGTTTCCTCTTCAAATTGGAGAAGTCATCTTTTGGAAACAAACTCCACCTGGCTGGCTGTTAGTCTGTTATGTTTTGCACTTTTTGCCCCTCCAAACCAAGCAACTACATTAATCAGTCATAGTTACATTTGTGGCTAATGGCCTTTGCTTTCTAGGATCTAGGAGAGCAGCCATTTTCTGAATGCAGAGTTAAAATGGCACCCCCTATTCATAAAGGTATTTAGTCTACCAACTCCATTGCAGACCAACTCTGAAATACTGTACAGACCAAATGGCTAAAAGAATCTGGCTTTTTGGGAGAAGTATTTTTCTTACCCTATTGGCTGCTTTTAATAACAAGATAGAGGAATGAAATAGTTCAAATATTTCACTGATTTTAAGCAGAATCATTTCAAGCATTCTATGTTGTTTCACATAATGTGATTCAAGAGTTGTCTCTTGTATTTTTTTGACAGTGTAATGGGAAGACCAGTTGTGTTCCTGCTGCTATTGACTTAGGCTAGATGGGATGAACTGGGAATAAAATTTGGGACTAAAACAGTAGGCATTTATGAAGCACAGTGAGGTAATCATTCTAGATCTGACTGTGGTTAAGAGAGAACTACAGCTAATAGCGTCTTTTTTTCATGGAGGGAGAAAGAGACAGTGGGGGGAAGAGCACAAGCTGATTAGCAGCAAGGTTCCTATTTTTCAGGAGAGCAGGTGCCTACACAGTGGCTGAAGCAGCAGATCTCATATACCACCTTCAGCAAGCAGCTGCTACCCTCCCTGTATCACTGATGCAGGAAGCAAATGTTGGACCTGCTGTGAGTAGGTTTAATTCACCTCAAGTATTTGATCCAGTTGAGGATGATCGCATGCATCTTACTTCTCCTTTATTGTACTGCACACTGCTGCCAAAAGAACCGTAGTAAATCTGCCAGCTGAACTCATAAAGCAATATGGAGTGGAGATAGGCATTCTATCTTCCTTACTGAAAGTTTAGGGAGTGGAAACTTAAGAGATTTACTTTAAAACATTTTTAAAGGAACCCCATTTGTGTTAATAGAATGACTGGAATTAATTTTCTGCCAGGATTTCCTCCCATTCTGAAGATATTTAATTTGAAAGAGATGGTTTCTCTTTACATTGCTTTTAAATCAGCATATCCCCAAAGCAAAGGAAGGTTACTTGAGCTGAATGAAGGAAATAAGATAAACAAATTAGTCCCATACAGTTTCTATACTGGGAGTTTTAATTTTTTTTTTAAATAATCTCTTTGGCACATATTTTTAATCAAGTAGTTCAAGTCAGGTTGTTGGTAGCATTCAGCATAAACTAATACTCTTTCCTTCTAACACTTGAGTGTAACAGAAGGAAGCAAGAAATTTATTCTGGATTCTCACTGTTTCTATGACTGAAATACTTGAACTATTTTGAATTTTATTCCATTGGAACACAGGTAAATTATAACATTCCAGACAGACTGTTTTTTTCCCCAGGGTGAAATAAAACATATATTCCATTTTATATACTATTCTACTAAGGAAGAATACTAGAGAATTTGAAAAGTCACACACTCTTTATCATTTTGCTTAGTCCTAATAAGGGCACTGACCAACTATGGATTTTTATTTCTTCTGTGAACTATAACAGCTTTGAGTGAAAAAAATTGTTTTTTCCCCCCTCTTAGCACCTTTAATTCAGCTGTTGTGCTCCTACATAGGATTTCCCCCACTCTTAAGTGAAATAAATTTAGAACAAAGTCATTTTAAGTACAAGACACCAGTCACATCTAGTGGATTTATTAATGTTGGAAAGGAAACCAACTCAAAACAGATTGTAACAGGTTGTTATATAGAGAATTGTAGGCTAGGCATATGGTAAATCAAATCAGGTAACATATTCCTCATTAACATATCAAAAATAGCCGAAGTATTTCAGGCTTTGATAAACATAATGTGCACATTTCCATAATTGTGTCATTCTGTTTAGACAGATACATACTCATATGATAGGAGATAAGGAACTCTGCCATTCTTTCCAAGTCTGGCACACTCAGGTCAGGCTGAGCCTGATAAAAACCATAATTATCTTTATTGTAGTAAAAGTATGATCTGCTCAGTGAAACTTCTTTTAACCTCTGAGTATTTTTCATGCACATAAGATCATCTCAAAGTGTTTACATCAGACAGGTTATTGTCCATTCAGATTATAATCACTGAAATCCATTGATAGGAAAACAATTATGAAATCCAAAAGCTTGTACCATATGGTAGCCATAACAGATTATTCTAAACTTCATTTTTAGAAAAGTTGTTCCTCACGATGTTCTTCATAGTTTTGTTCAATAAACATTATAAAATGATTTCATGCTATCAAGATGAGCATCAGTCATACATTAGTACTGAAAGGGTAGTATTCAGGAAATTCATGGATAATTTTTAGAGCCTCATTGTACAGTGAAAGATCTGAAAGAAATTGGAAAGAAAATGAAAATAGAATGTACTGCTCTACATGGAAATATACTATAATGATGCAATATTAATCATATTTTTCATCTCGTTTTAAAAGAAATGCCTGATCACAAAATCAATCCAGTTCAAAATATTTCAAGGAATTGCTTTAAAAAATATCATGACTGAGTCTACAGAGGAATTAAACTGCATCATATCCAAGAGTTTTTCATATATGAAAGTATATCCATAATAGATCTCTATAAAGGTGAAAAATCATAATTGGAAAATCTAAGCTGTACATCACTAGATCCTAGATCTAGGATATCTGTTTAGCCAGATATATGCTGACATTTATTTTTCAGATTAAGAAGTTTTGAAAAACTGGTATGCTACTACAAAGTTGTTGTTGTAAATATTTCTGTAACTGACATGCTTAGGCATTGAAACATAGAAACTATTATGTGGAAACTGAGGCTCCATATGGATTTAAATTCTGATGTAATGAAATTGTGCATATTACAGAAGAATTAGCAAGAGACTTTGAGGAATTAGAAGCTTATTAAAGAGTAAGAAAAAGCTACAACTTGCAATACAGAAGTAAATAACTTGCTTACCAAACATGTTTTTATCTTCTTTGAATTGGATATATGATGAACACATGATATTTAACTGATTTGTAACTCTTCCTACTACTTCAATAACACCAGAGATCTCTTCTTCAAGCTAGCAAAGTAGATGAGAGTCAGCATCTCCAAAAATCAGGAATTTTAGTCATTTTCAAATCATTCCTGTCATTTTCTGATAGATGTGTAATGTACCCCAAACAGAATTATGAAATTTGGGGAAAACAAACTAGAATGAAAAGTCTTTCCACTTAGTATTTTCATGGTTAAAATTCATCAATAAAACTTGAATTAATAGTAGTAACTATTAAGTAATGCTTTAACAGAATAGCTTAGATTGTATTAAAGATTTTAATAGGCCATAGTAGCATAGAAAAGATCCCACCCAGAATTTTCTGCTCATAGAAATAATTTCCATTACCTCAAATTCCAACTTAAAATTAATTTCTTGAGAGCATTTGGCTCAATTGATGCTTACTTCTCCTCTCTTATCTTCCATTTAAATTACTACACTTGAAGCTGGGGTCTGTGTTTTGCTTCTGTTATACTTAGGATAAAATGTACATTGAGTCCTATGCCAATCCATATGGATGACCATAAATCAAGGTTTGTTTATTTATTTATTTATTTATTTATTTATCAAATTTGTCACCGCCCATCTCACAGAAACAACTCTGGGCAGTTTACAAAACAGTTAAAATCAATTAAAATTACCTTATACAATACTTTTAATAAATAGAAAATAAATAGATCCAAGAATAGATATAAAATTGGCAGTCACTCAGAGAGTGTCATCAAGGTGCCAGCCACCCCCAGGATTGGGTGAGATTGTTATCACCCCATGCAAGCTGGCAGAGTATATATATAGCTGGCACCCCACGCAAGCTGGCAGTATATAGAAGCCTCTGACAAAATCATGAGTAGAAATGATAGTGATGATAGAATGAGATACAAAGATAAAAGGAAACAAACGTCAAAACATATTTTAAGGAGATACCTGTTGCTACTGTAGCAACATTGGGATGATAGGAGTTTCTCTCAGGATTAGAGGCTGAAACCCTTTCATAACCTGACATCAGAGCATCACAATATTGCCTTTCAAATTAAAACTTCCCAAGCCAATAAAAATAGTTACTTGTAAGAAATTACAAGGCCCTTTAAAATATATTCATACTTACAGGTGAATTCAGCTCAATCACTGCATTTTTTCCTTCTCCATCAGATAGAAAGAAGAATTTCCCAGATTGATGGATCTACCAAGTAACAATCAATGGTAATATTTTAATGCAGAGACAAAAGCTAACACCCACATAAAGAATAACCAAGGTTAAAACACTGTAGAGGACAAATCAAGAGTTTGGTAGCACCTGTCCTTTTTTTATACATATGATTTTATTGAAAATTATTAATCCCAAGAATAAGACTAATAAAACTAAAATAGAGCAAAAAAGGAAAGAAAAAACTAAAGGTGCAAAAAGAAAAAGAGTAGCAGAAAAATAAAAAAGAAAAAAGATATAAAGTGGCTTCTAATCTTCTTTACAGCAATTATAAGTACAATTATAAATTGACCTCTCTCACTAAAGTTATATCATGACTCTATTTTTTTCTATATTCTATCTTATCTACTCATAAAAACTATAAATCATAAGTTCATTGTTTTTAATGCAAAAAGTCCATAAGGGTTTCCAGTCACCAATAAATGTAAGCATTGTCTTGTCTCTAATCAAACAAGTCAGTCTGGCCATTTCAGTGAGTTCTCTCATCTTTACCAACCATTTCTCTGTCATAGGTATTGCCAAATATTTCCATTTTTGTGTGTACAATAACCTTGCTGCAGTTATCATATATAAAAAACAATGTTCCATGACTTTTTTCCAACTTATCCATCAGTCCCAAGAGGAAAAGTTAGTAACACCTTTCCAACTAACAATTTTTATTAAAAGCTTTCTTGAACTGCAGCCCACTGCAGCATACAGTGCACCTGATGAAGTGAAAAGTCTTGTGCCTCTTTATAAATCTGTTAATCAGAAAAAGTGCTACTAGACTTCTTTTGATTTCAAGGTTAATGTTGAATTTGTAATAATTGAAAGCACCTTGCTTGAGTGAAGTTTGCTCATTCCACCACTATAAACAATGATCACAGCATTACTGAAAATTCATGTTTTATCAATAAACAAATATATTCTTAACAGTATTTTAGAAATTATCAACTTCCAGCTATTAAAAACAGCTATAACTACAGACTTTCTCACCTAGTCTATTACAGTTCATCTAACTTACTAAAGTTAGCAGAGGTCCTGTTACTATATACATACTTAATTAAGGTAGGATGAGTTTAGTGTGCCTAGGAACACCAAGACAATTATTGGTCAATTAACTTCCATAAACTAAGCAGATCCAGTTAGGAACAGATTAAACTAACTGCACCTAGCCAGTTGTGTCATGGGAACATCTAATCCCAATAATATGAGCCATACTCCATACCCATTTCTCTAAGAAAAAAGGTTGTTGAAAAGAAAAAAAAATGGCTGAAAATGCACTCCCAAACACTGAGTACCTGCAGGGGCCAAGCCACATCTACTAATATTTCCCTAGCCATTGGGAAAAAGGCAAGTTATGTCTTAGAGCCTTTTCAGTATTCTTGTGCAAAGGCAATGGATACCAGGTGCTTCCAGAAGAAATTGAGTGGGGCTTCAATAATTCAAATTGATTACTTTTGACCCAATTCATGTGATTATGTACTGGCAGCATCACCAATAAGATTTATTCTTTTCAAATATTTATATGTCACCTATTCAGAAAGTCTAAGCAGCCTGCAATATAAAAGCATAAAAAACAATAAAAAAGACATGTTAATCCACAATTGCTATCCACCTAAATTGGACATTCTTCCCCAAAGGCCTTGCAAGAGTACTGTTTTCACTGCATTCTTGAATGTTAGTAGGGAGAGAGCTAACTGACCTCAGATGATAAGCTGTTTCAAAATGAGAAATAACCAACATGAAAGCCATTCTCCTGGCCCCCACTCTCAATTTCTCAGTATCCCACCCAGCTAGAATGTACTGGTTTGGCAGATTCTACCTGAAGAAAATAGTCCCAAATATAATGAGTATCTGAGATATAATGGGCTTTAGAGATTATAACCTGTATGTTGAACTGAGCCTGGAAGCTAACCAGCAACCAGTGCAGCTCCCACAGCAAAGATGTTACTCTGCTAAACTAGAACCAGTCAGCAGGCAGGCAGCTTCATTCTGTGTCAGTTGGAGCTTCTGGATCATTTTCAAGGGCAGTCCATTGTGAAACAGATTACAGTAGTCTAGCTGGGAAATGATAGGAATGTGAGTCACTGACTTCAGGATCTATTTGTTTCTCACAGGGTACTTAGGGAGCATGACTATGTCCACAGTATCAATGTTAACTTGTTGAAAGTAACAAAAGAGAAAAAGAATGATCAAGAATTCAAAATCCAAGCAGTACCAAGTGCACACACATAATGATATGTCTCTCTTTATTCTGCTTTGACCCATTTGTACTTTTTTTTGTTCTTAACCAAAGACAGCACAATCAGTTGTCTTTAAATGATGCACTAAATGACCCATTCATGATTTCCCTTAAATCAAGAAATAACACAAGCCCCCCAAAGAGCCTATAACTAGAACTTAATAAAATAATATAGGGAAGAGAAGCAAAACAATCCAAATTTAATAAAATACTACGTAAGTCAGTGATTTAAAAGCACTATACTATTTTCAAAATTACACCCTTTGGTCTTATTAATTCGTCTAAATTAATATGAATGCTTCAACATAGATACGAGCTTAACAAAGATAAGGGTATACCTCATAGTTAATATCACATATGTCATCACTAACAATAACATTTTGCCCTAAGAAATGTAGATGATTCCCCTATTTGAGATAAAGCGTTGGCATCTACCTGCCATTTCCCAGACCAAGAAAGGTCTAATTTAGCAGCATTAACACAAAGAGAACTATCTCCTGCGTGCTACCTTTTCAAGACGTCCCACGAAACAGACAGGCTTTCCAACGTACTGCGCCAACTGACTTGCAGTTACACGAACGCGGGGGCCCTCTAATATATCGGCCATTTCGGAACGAAATCCAGGCTAGCTCCCCAGCTTTTCTCCTTGGCGGGAAATGTTTGCTTCCGCTCTCCTACTGGAGCGCGAGCGGATTACCACAGCAACTAAAGACACGTGGAAGGTCGAACGTCCCCCTCCAATACCGTTCCAGAGCAGCAACCCCCGCTAGGCACGTGATTTGCGAGCAGTGAGGAATGTCGGGCCAAAGCCTAATGCGCAGGCGCTTTGCGGCAACGCGCTGTGAGGTCGACTTATGTTTAGTCTCCAGGATGCATCGTTAATGAACCGGAAGGGAAGGTTGTTGTGGAAAGGTGTCTAAAAAAGGTGGGTGTTTGGAGGGGCAGGATAGGGTCCATATTATAGTGGATTCCACTGCGCTGACAAGGGAGGCTGGAAAATGAAGCTCGCTAGACCACTGGTTGTGTGGCACACTCAGTTATTAAATGGGATGTGAGACCTCAGTTTGGTAGTTCTGATGGTTGAGACCGTTAAAGTGTTTTGACGGACGAAGGGTTCACATATGCGCATGCGCCGGTTCAGAATTTGTGACACGAGGCAATTCTGACAGATTTTATTTGCGTGATGAGCGAGAATATCTGTCATTCACAACCTTGATATAAAAAGCCCTTTCTCGGATTCTGTGTGTGTGTGTATGCAGTTTTCTTGGCAACATTTTCAGAAGTGGTTTGCCACTACCTTCTTCCTAGGGCTGAGAGAGAGTGACTGGCCCAAAGTCATCCAGCTGGCTTTGTGACTAAGGCAGGACTAGAACTCAGGGTCTCCCGGTTTCTAGCCTGGGGCCTTAATCACTACACCAAACTGGTTCCCTCAGTCTTATTAGAGTACAGCTGTTATGAATTTATCCTTTTTGTGTTGGTGATGGGAAGGATTGTTGCTATAGCTATAGGTTGTGCCTCATTTGCAGCTTATATTGGCACTAGAACACCTTGGCAACTCCAATAGGCCAACTTGATCCTACCAAGTTGGTTTAATTTTGTCTCTTGCTAACCCAGAATTTAAATATATGGTTTTTTTCTGTTCCTGAAAACTGCTAGTTTTTCTTGCATGCTTGACCTGTTCCTGTCACAGCTACAAAATGTTTTTAAAAATGCACTCTATTAGCTGTTTTGGAAGGGGCTAGGCTATAAGACTTGAGGGTATAACCAGAGGTGTGTCTTGGACATGGAGGGTCATGTAATTAGCCTCCTCCATTTGATCACTGCTTGAGAGGGATGGGAGATATACCAACTATCTTCCAGAGCAGGGGAGATTATGTGGCAACTGTTTACTGGGAGACCCTAGTATTGTGAGGAGTGATGTTTTGCAGGTGATCAAATGTGAGGCCTTGCTCATGATGCTGGGGCAAAGGGACAAGCTGGGACTGCTACTGTTGTACCATTCTTCCAGCTACATGGTGGCATCCTACACCAAGCTGCTTGCAGGGATGGTTGGGGACTTGCCCAGACTGCTACTGAGTTATTTTAACTTCCTTTCCCTGGGATTAGAAGTGGTTTAGGAGTTAATGGCTGCTATGCAACCATGGGTTTGTCCTAGTTCATCACTGGCCCAACTCACCTGGCTGGCTATTCTTTAGATCTGGTGTTCATCTCAGAAAAAATGTGTTGTGATCTGGTTCTGGTGAATTTTTCCACCATTCCATTGTCATGGACAGATCACTTTCTTGTGACAATATTGATTGGACCTACCAACCTATTTCGGGAGAGGGACCCATTAAGATTGCCTGCTGCAAATGTCTGATGGATTCAGCAGGCTTCTTGGCAGCTCTTGGGGAGTGCTTCAGTCTAGAGGGCAGTTTGTTGGGTGCATCTGGAATATGGAAGCAATCAGTGTGCTTAATATTGCTTCCAAGTGGCCTCTCCCCACCTGCTGATCCCATGTAGCTGCTTGGTTCTCTGAGGCAGTCTGGGAAATGAAGTGGCAATAATGGTGGCAAAATAATTCACTTAATTCTAAAACTACCATGTGAATAAAATAATCACTAAACTATTAAGAGAGTATGTATGTTGATGGATAGATAAATAGGAGCTTTATTGTGGCCACTGGCATATAACAGAAAGACATAAAAAAGTGTAAGAACATTTTGCGTATTTATAAGATCAGGGGAATGTTTTCCTGCATAAGGCAGTGGCACCTAAAAGAAACATTGTACTTCAGGAGATGTAAAGGTTCTAGTCTGACAGTAAAAAGCAAATGAAATCATCCTTGGACCATATGAAACTTCTATTAGCAAGTGGAATAATGAGGATAGGGTGCAAATTGCTATAGCAAGAACATTGAAGGAATACAGGAGCTAGAGTCTCAGGTACCTCCAGGTCACAGGGCAAGTTAGCTCTGCAAATGGGGTATTGTTGTACCTTCCATCCAGTATTGTAGAGGGCAAGACATTAAAGCGGGCCAAAGAAATTGCTCAACAATTAATACAATAATAAAGTTGGATAGATAATACTGAATATGTAATTAGCTGGCGTGAAGGCTTTCCTGTTTATATCCTGCCAGTACTGGTTACCTGGATTGCCCTGATCTACCCAAAGAGTTAATCAAACACCTGCTGCTGGATTGCAGGTCTAACTGTTGATTAATCCATGACCAGGAGAGCTTGACCCAGCAGCTGCATTGGCAAAGATAATTCTGAATTCTAGTTTTCCAGAAAGAAGAAATGTTATGTAGAAGGATCATGGTACCTAGGGAATTGCTGAAAATGTGAAGTCTGAGCCGGAAGTAGAGCTGGCATATGCAGACCCTAAATTTCAGCAAAATCTTCCCCATTTCTAAGTGGAGTGCTACATTCAAAATGCAGTAAGAGAATAGTACTCTTTGGTACCTGGATTGGATTATATATAAGGGCTTTGAGTGATTATATGCACATACCTGAAAGCTGTATTACCTCTGGGAGATGTATTTGGCTTTAAAGAATTTTATGGTGGCAAGGTATGTTTTTGTCTCCTTTAGGGTGAAAGAAGCCCGGTAGGGCTTTCACACTATCGTTGGCCTTGTCAGAAATAGATTTCATTTGTTCATGCCAGATTCCAGAGTGTTGAAATACCAAGATATTTGAAGGATGAAACTTGGTCTAAATTATTATTGGCACCTGGATTACCAATGATGTAATCCAAGTACCAATAATAATTTAGGTTTTGCTATTGATGTTTGGGCATCTGAGTCCCTTTGAGAAAACCCTTACTATATTTTCGTTATTGAATAGTTAACTATGAGTCTTTCTTCTCTACAATAGGCTGGTTTTTCTAAGAACAACCTGAGTTTAGGTGAGAATAGCTGCATCATCAGCATAAAGTAGTACCTCCAGCTCTCTATTGTTAAGTTTAGGAATTCTGCTTTACTGTGCAAAATGCTGATGCTTGGGAATCGACCAACCCCACTTCAACATACAAAACCTGTGTGGTTTCTTTAATTAACAGTAATTAACTGTTTCCTTGTATCTCTCTTAAGTTTACCCCTTCTAGTTGGAGTGTTTCCAAAGTTTATTTTGATGATATTGGGCTGTGAATTTGTTTTGTTCAAGCAGAAAATGATCTATTTCTTTCCTTTTTATTCTTAGATTTGCATTGCAAAGAGATGTTCAGTTTATTCCGAAAAAGCCAGGATACCAAGAAGGAAGTAGTGACTGACAAAGAAGCAGATGGATTTGTTCTTCTGGGTAAGTATCTTTAAGTCACATTGAAATCATTTATTTTTTATAATTATTTTGTAGATATATTACAAGGTGCTGCACTGAAAAAATGCATAGAACTTAGTGCTAAACTTAAGAGATATCTATCTATCTATCTATCTATCTATCTATCTATCTATCTATCTATCTATCCGTCCATCCATCCATCCATCCATCCATCCATCCATCCATCCATCTGTCCATCACATTTATATAGCTACCCATCTCACACAAACTGTCTCTGGGTGACGTATAACAATTAAAGTAAAATAA